GTTTTACTCTAGGTATTTAAAAAATGAAAGGAAACAATTAATTATGAAAAATATTTTATTTTATTAAAAAAATTTCAAATATATTTTACAGAGGAAATTATCATCAAAAAATATTTTTTCCACAACTTTTAAATATAAAATTTTTCACTCGATTGTGAGATATATATATACAAAATTTGAATAGAATTTAAATGGATTATTTTTTTTTTTTTTTTACATTACCTTTGGGATATTTTGCAAGAAATTAAATAACTAATATAACTAAATAAAATTAAAATTCACATCTAATCACGCCACATTTTGTTTTGCGATATTAAGTAATAGCGTTTATATTTTTAAAAATGAACAAATTAAATGAAATATTAAAATATTTTTTTTATACAATTTTCAGGTATGTACAGATTTTAGTTTGTAATAGAAAAATGCCCATAAACAAAAGATTAAAATAATACTATTATAAAACTAACGAAATGCATACATTAACATCAAAATAACACATATTGCAAAAACTGAACCAACAATTAATGAATCTCTTCTTTTTCTTATATGTATTCTTTGAATTAAACTATTAATTAATGGAAAACGATTACTGAAATCATTAATTCGAGTTTGAAATCTTTTGAAAATTATTCTTTGATTACTAAGATGATCTCTTGTTTCCATTGCTATAGCTATTTGCTCATCAACTAATCTGTTAGAACTTAAAACAATAATTTGATTTGATTGTTTTCTCCGAAAATTGAATAAATTCTATCATAAATCAAATAAAAAAAAAACTTAAACTTACTTTCGAATATGTTCATTTTCTTTTAAATTTAAATCTACTCTTCTGTTAAGTCCATTGGATGATTTAAAATTACTTAAAAAAATATTGTGTATGTTAACATAGTGTGATAATGATAATTAATTATCTGAAACAGTTTGACCTACCTAATGTCAGTCCTAACACTATTTAATAATTCTTCTCTTTCTTTCCTAGCTTTATAATTTGCTTGAATTTTATTAAATTCCTGAATATAATCTTGTAAAATTTCTTTATGTCTTTGAACTGTGTGAAGTAGAGCTGCTGTTGGAGGAGTACCAGATGCTGTTACTTCACTTAATTTCTCAGACACTGATGAAAGCTAAATATATTAATCAATTTTGAATTAATATAACACAAGACATAAGCAATGTATATTTTGAAGTATTTTTTTTTTTAAATTGTGCCACTAACTTTGTTTAACAAAATTTGAATTTCATCTGTAGCATTTTCAAATGTATTTGTTCCAAGTAAAGGCTCTGCAGCACTGAAAAATATTTTTAGGTTAAATGGTATAAATATTTAGATAATAAAAATTACAAAATCGAAAAATTTTATATGTAGTACGTAATAACTACAATTTATTAAAAATTTTTTTTTATGAAATGTTTTAAATGTATTTACCTATCCTTTTTAGGGCTTAAAACATGACCGGTTCCCAATTTACTAAATGTAACTAATTTAGAATCAATTTCATTTTCTAATTGTCTGGCTTGTTTTCCTAAATCTGAGTAAATAGTAAAAATAAGTTCAAATTTCTTGCACAAAAAAACAGAAAAAAAAAAAAAAAAAAAAAACTAAAACTTATTTAATATAATAGTGTAT